TGATTTGACGAGATTGGCTACTAAATAAATAAAGGTTGGGGTAAGGCAAAATATAATAAATACGGTTTTTAGCTACTACTTTAATTTTTACTAGCTGAAGGACCCGCATATATGCGAGTTTTGTAATTTGATATCTTATAAATTTGTGAAAAAATAAAATATTTAATTGTACAAAACAAAGTTAAATTACCTGTTAAAATAAATAAATTAAAAGTAAAAACGTTGTTGTAAACTCACTAATTGAAAAACAGAACATTTATTTATTAATTTTGGTACTTTTGTTGTTTGATTTAAAATTAAATTTTATCACATATTTTCAAATCATTAGTTTTTCTTATTCATATTAAAATTTAATTAGGTGTAAATTTTTTTTCCTATTTTACTACTCAAATTTTTATTTCTCAAAATATTGATAAATTTATTTCCATATTTGTATTTGAACAATTTTTACTCTCTACGTATTTTATAACTCCCGTAATACAAATCAAACACGAAAAAACGAAAGACAAAATTAGGTCATCCCCACGAAGAGATAAAATAAAATTGAGAATATTTGTACAAAATTACTTAGAAGTCTGTCAAATATTTATCTATTTTTTATTCTCATACTTATTTTTTATATTCTTTGATATTCAATTAAATTATTTCATAGATTTCTAAATAATTTTTTTTTTTCTAATCCTCTTTAAATTACATTTACATTTTTATAATCCTACTTAAATTAGGTTTACTTCTATTTTACAAATAAAAATAAATAGATAAATATTTTGACATGTAGCTAAATCTAATTGAAAAAAGTATTTTATATTTATATACAAGTGTCAAAATCTGGTCATCCGACTTGTCAGTGTCACGATGATGAGAAATTTATTCCTAATTAAATTAGGTTAAGATTTTCTAATCTTATTTAATTAGGTTTATTTTTCACTATTTTACAAATAAAGATAAATAAATATTTTTTGACATTTGATTAAATCTAATAAAAAAATCTCTTAAACTTGTATATATGTGTCAAAATCCGATTAACCATTTGTCCCGATCATGTTCATTACGAAGTTTGCGAACCAAGCTTTATATAATAAGATTTTAAATTAAATTATGTCACATATTTCAAAATAATAAGATTTTCAGTTAAATCGTGTCACATATTTTAAAATAAGAAGATTCTCCTGATCCAAATTAAATTAGGTTTAGATTTTCTAATCCTATTTAAATTAGGTTACTTTTCACTATTTTAAAAATAAAGATAAATAGAAAAATAATAAGATTTTTCTAATCCAATTTAAATTAGTTTTAGATTTTCCTAATCCCATTTAAATTATGTAAAGTTTCACTATTTTACAAATAAAGATAAATAGATAAATCTTTTTTTGTCGTAAAATCTAATT